TTTTGTACCACACCCCAGTTGGGAAAAACTGCTTGGGAAATTCAAAAAACATTAATCTCTGATGCACACAGGTGTCACCCCTGCTACTACCTCAAAACAACCATGTTAGGCCCTAAAGGGCTTTATGTCGAGGAGCAGGGCACTGATTGTGTATCTTATTTACCTCCACAATAATGTTGATAGAAAAATATATTGCACCATGAAAATAATAGGAGCAAGTCAGCCCAAACTGCAAAACATTACAAAAACCCTCAGATTTAAGAGAAAAGAGCAATTTTCTGTTATAGCAAAAAATGCAAGTTGATTATTTAAACTAACTACTTGGTTCTCTAAATAACAGTTTAAGAGGTTCTAAAACTGTAAACTTTGTGTTTAAGTTTAGCGTGTTTTTTAGTGAAATTTCAACCTACTGCATCTGCATATTGGGATGGCACAAACCTGCTGCTCATTTATATAGTTGCTTCGTTTGGCTCAAAGCAGGCTTTTGAAATGTGTGTTGGCCAATAAGCTTTACGCCAGCAAGTAAGAAACACCAGCTGCTGGAGGGGCAATGTCTGCTACTTTTTGTGTGTGCACTCACTGCACCACCAGAGAGAATAGAGAGTTTCTCCAATATTCATATTGATCCCAATGTGGGAACGATTGGGATATCAGTAGTACCTCAGTCCCTCTGAGGGAAAAAGTTTCATTCATTTCAGCATCATTCAGCAGAGATCGAGGCCCCCAAAAAAGCAATATTTGACCAGATAGCTTAACTACCACACTAGCAGCAGTTAAGCTCTGCTAATGAGCTCATATTGGAATCAGGTGTGTGGGAGCAGAGAGAAATCTAGAAGTTGTTGGACACCAGCCCACCAGGAGTGTAAGAGCTCTGCTCTAGATTAACACCTCTTCAAACGGCTGCCTTTTAGCATATTGTCCTTCCTATTCAATGATCCAATCCAAAAAACATTTAAGAATGTAACCAACATGATTGCAGTCATGATGCAACATGCAGTAACCAAAAGCAGATAAAAATCTTAAACAACTGATATCTAGCAGTTTTCTAAATATCGTTAAGTTTTTCACTAAGTTTTTGTGTGTGGGTGTGTGTGTACTTGTATAAAAGCCAGTGTGAGGACCATTTCTCTAATTTTACAGTCACTATGAGGACAAGTTGTCTAATGTTTGGTTTAGGGCTAAGGTATCAATTGGGTTAGGGTTAGTGTTAGGGTGAGGTGTAAATTGGTAATGGTTATGTAAAGGGTACATTTAAGGATTAGGGCATAGAAAGGGCTAAAAATGACTGAAAATGAATGTAAGTCAATACATGGTCCTCACTACAACAAACACATATGTGTTTTTTCTGATAAAATTGGTTTCTTAATATTGGACATCTGAAAGATGTTTGTTTGTGCAATGCACAGATGTAAAAAAAAAAAAAACTATTGTAGCGCAGTGCTGCAAATTACCTTTACACAAAATAAAAAATACTTTATGCAGCTTGCTGACATGAACCCTTTGTTGACAGGTACTGCTCGGGGAGGAAGGGTATGCAAAGGTTTTCAGATTAACAGATTTTGCTACCATCCAGCTGGCTTCCAGGGTATTTTGACGTAATCTACAAGGACTGATTTCCCCTTAAAGTGCTGTGAAGAATGTCAACATTAAAATGGTCATATCTTTTTTTAATTCTCCTTTTAAGTGTGACATAAAATAAAAGCTTGTATTTCACTCTGTAAATATCTCAAAATGTCCCCGGGTGGACTTGTTCCTAATTTTTCCAAAGCCTGTCATAAATGTTACTCCAAGGTCACGGTCAGTAATGCTTCCCAAACTCTGTAAGTCTGCATACATTGAGTGGTTTTCTCAAAGCATGTCATTTTACTCCTGAAAATTCACTTCAAGCTAATGATACATAAGCTTGGGTAAAAATAAAGTTTGACACTGGCAGTCAAACAATACTTTCACTCATGAATTAAGATTTATGTAAAGAAAAGGGTATCTACTCAAGCAACATCCTTCCTGTTATGAGACATTTGAGGGGAGTTCTGTTTCATAAGCTTTATCGCTATCTGAATATAGTAGTAGTTTCCTGTTTTATGGGCTGCAACTGTAAAGGCTCTCACTCTCTTTTTAAAAAGTATGTCTTGAAATTATTGACCTACCTCAAAAACATTAAAAGAACAAATTGTATTTTTTTTAATACATTTTCTAAGTTTTTAAAATATATAGTTGTTTGCTCGTTACAGCTTTCTATGCTTCATATCAATTGTTCTATGTAGGGTACAATTCTGAAGCTCTGTGTGAAATAAATTATACAGTGAGTGACATCTCTCTCCACTCTGACAGAGGCAGTCTTCTGTGATATTGGATTGTTTCCACCTTGCTGACTTTCTGACATCTTTGTGGGGGTTCAAGCCCGACACAGGGAAGACCTCAGAAACCAGAGTGTCCCCAAGTGAGCCACATAGCGTCACATTCTGCTTCATGCTTCAATGCCTTCTGCCACCGCCCATTGTTATTACTCTTCCAACCCATCCAATTTTCAAAAGCTACAAGGCACATGCAGCAGGACAAAGTGGAGAGGTAGGAATTTATGCTGTCCCAACATCAATTAATGAACAATCACGAAAAATGTCCTCTCAAACAGAAAATCCTGGTCCCTCTTTCTGAAATCAAACTGCACTAAAACTGTAAAGAGACAAACAAAGTAGTTATTCAATCAATGTGGCTCGGTGGAAGATCTACAGGGGCAATGGACTTTAAATATTGCAAAATTGAAACTGATTTAACTTTTAGCATTTTGGTGAGTCTCCTGATTTGGATTTTGAAAAGGAAACCTATAAATAACAGGGTTACAACACCAGAACACTTATTCTTTTTTAAATTGATGCATTGACATTAAATTACAATGTGAAGATGTGAATGGATGGATGGATGGATGGATGGATGGATGGATGGATGGATGGATGGATGGATGGATGGATGGATGGATGGATGGATGGATGGATGGATGGATGGATGGATGGATGGACAGAAGAAAAAAAAAGATCAAAGTTTAAGGTTCAAACAGATGCTTAAGTAAAATAATGTATATATAATGCAGGCCACAAACATTGTAAAGAAAAGATGCATGTCCCGGTGGACAGACCATCAGTGGTCAATATTATTGATAGATGGATAGACAGATGGATGGAAGGTGGGCAAACAGATGGATCAACAAATGACAGAGGGATGGACTGTGGGCATAAAAAATAACTGCATAGTCAGTTTCCAAAGCATTTATCATGTCTCAAGGAAATATATATATATTTTTTTCTCAACAATGCTCCATTTATGAATAAAAAAAAAAAACCTCATGACCTTAACAAATGAGGTGACATTTAGTTTGACTTGAATCACTTAGTTATGATCGTGTAGGTTTTAGGCAGTAAACCTACACAATTATGTTCATACTCTTCAGAATATTTCAAAAATACTATAATTATTGGGACAGTCTATTTAAGCAGTAAAGAATCCAGCTGCACTTTGCATTCTGATTCGCTGCTTTCTGCTGCTTCTGCTTTTGCCAGGTTCTGTTAGGTTGTCTTTAGACCTCCCACCACCTCAGCACTCCTGTTGGGCTCTGAGGACAGAAACCTTTTCATCACTTCCTGACATGCAAAAGACATGGTCAGCAGGGTAGAGATGCACTCCTAATGAAATGTTGGGGAGCAATATGAGATCCTACGCCCAAACTTACATTATATTGGCTAACACAGATTAACATTTGTCTGAATGAAATCTCTTTTATATTAAAATGAACATTGCGTGACGAAATACCTTGTTTCATTTTTCAAAACTATCAAAGTGCTTGATGGATGCAACCCCGACACAATAGCGGTGGCCATACAACCATGGATGGCGATCACACACCTGCACGCAAGCAGCAGCTGATCCATGGCAAGACAAATGATCCATGAGGAGCTGGACGCTGCTGTTAAATGACTTGGAAAATAGTCCCACGTTACACAGTAGATAAAGGCAATGAAGAAGCAGAATGAGAAAGGCGAAAGTACAAGGCAGCGGTTAACAGTCAAGTCAGGACAAGATTATTACTAATCTAAAAATGCATTTTCCATTTCAGTCTACCTTAATCCCGGCCTTACATGCAGCTTGTTGAGTAAATGTGGGAGCAATACAAATGTGTTTCCAGAGCACCCACATGTTAAGTCTTTTTACCCTGATAACCGTTGATACATTTTTCAATCATCAGTTCAACTCAAAGCTAAACCTGCTGTAACAAGACAGCTTTTTCCTTCACAAAGAAATCAAAGAAGTAGCTTCATGCTGAAATAGTAGCCTGGAGAGAGATGATTTCTGAGGAGCAGCGGGGTCTGACTGGGGGGTTTCAAAGCAAAACAAAAGGAATGCAGGGTGGGGGAATGGTGAAGGAGCAAAACAGAGGAGGAGGATGGGGGTGGGTGGACGATGTCTATGTTAAGGTACTCCCAGCAGCAAGGGTGCTGTATTTCCTTTAATTTCAAAACAGTTTAAGCGTTGCAGGTCCAGTGTGAGGCCAGTTTGAATGGCTCACAGGTGAAATTTTACACCATGGGAAAAATTGGCAAATCACGGCTTGCTCTGAGCTCTCAGCTAAGAGTAAAGGTATCATAATTTTTTGTCCCTTTGATGCTGCTTTTATAAAAAAAAAGGTTTCAATTTTCTTTTTGTAAAAAGCATCTGTAGAATATCTGCTTTGTGAGCATAGAAATAGTTAATATCTGAAGCAGCATCTACTAAGAGACAAAACTAACATTCAGAAATGCCTCACTATTCTTGATATGACCATAGGCGTATTGTACAAAAAGGTTATTCAGCTTCAAAGCCAGAATCAGATCAAGTTTGAGACATATTTTAAATATACAGTACATCCTCATTTTATATAACAAGCTTTAGCTCTACAGGTAAGTAACTTGACAAAAAAATGTGCAGGAGAAATGCATACCGGAACTACGTATGCAAACAGATTTACTCACCGAGACAGTTGTGTCCATCATGGGCCAAACGAAAACCATCGTAGCAGGTGCACCTGTAATTTCCAGGGATGTTGATGCACTCATGGACACACCCTCCATTGTACTCAGTCGCACACTCATCAACGTCTAAAAGGAAATCAAAGGTTTACAGTTAGGTTCAAAGTTATTTTTTAAAAACCTTCATATTTGGCTCTAAAATTTGTTTCATTTGACCAAAAATATATTTCTAAACTGAAATTAGACAGAAAAGCTGCATTTCAATTTTTTAAAATAGAATTTTTAAATGCATTTGTCTTTCTAAATTACTCATAAAAGAACATGAACTGGAAATATAAGAAATGGAATTATAAAATGAATTGGCAAGGCAAAACTTCAAAGTTGCTACGTGAAAAAAAGAACAAATATAAAGATTTGCATAACTAAAACAATGGCTTGAAACAGTCAGCAAAAATTATTATTATTATTACATTAATAAATGTAAATTAAAATTGAGATTTTGTTTCATTATTTTAAGGAAAAAAAACAGATATAACTACTGTACATTGGGGGAGCTGGAAAAATATAAGCACAAGTTTAAATTCTGCAGAAGCGCTTTTTGCAGTGTAAATCCCAACCTCCTATCTATTTACTGGGAAATTAATTAGTAAGAGTGCACTACAGCTGCTTTAAAGAACTGCAGAAAAAAATAAAAATCTGAAGACAAAATTATCTTTTGATTTAGAAAGGATGGGGGAGTTGCTCAAAAGCTGAAGGCCATAATGAAAGGTGTTTTGAAAGCTTTCTCAATTTTAATTCTGATAGAAGCTTTGGAATCTGCATCTTCATCTGTGTCATAAAAAGACTGAGCAAGTGTTGATCTTATTCCCCAAATTAGATTTGATCAAGCCCAACACCATGCTTTCTCTTTAAAGGATGCTTTACATTTATTGGTACTCTTGGTAAATATATTTTAGATATTTTAGCAACAAGGACTTAGTATTTGTTTTGTTGTGAAACAAAGGAATAAACAGTCCAGAGGCATATCATGCCACTGCCGAGTAAGGTAGAGGTTCTGTGATGTTTACTCCTGAAAGTGTGCACAGCATGGAGAACTCTGTTATAAAACAGGTAATTTAAAACGTTGCTGGGGGCAGACAAAGTCAGCTTTTCTTGTTTTTATGATTTATAGTTTATGTATTATCTGTAACCTCATGCAGTTTCTTCATTTAATCTGCTTTAAACCAGTTATCCACTGCATATGCATTTTTTTAACAAACAATTGTGCAAAAAAAATAAATAAATAAATACAGTTTCTTACTGAGATTAGTGTTCCTTAGTGAGAATCTTAAGCGAACAGGCCCTAAGTGTTTTACTTGTACTACTTTGTATTTTAAAAGGTATAGTAGAGGATTTTCGTGAATAAAAAAAAACAAAAAAAAACTCCACTTAACAAAAGAAATGCACATCCACAACCCTGTACCCACTCTCGATACTAGGGGTTTGGGAAATAATCGTTTTGGCGATATATCGTGATATTCGGCTGCCCAATATAATATCGATCTCTCACTTCTTAGTATCGATTTATAAAAAACAATGGTTATATAAAACATTGATGGGAAAATGGGCTACCTCTGCACCACCACTCTGGCAGAAAGCGCTGTGGAGCCCTTTAACTGTGCGTGCAGCACCAAATCTGTATTGGAGGCAGTCACAGTGGAAGAAAACCCCAAACAACATGGATAATAATACCTAATCAATATTTTCTGATGAAAATATACAGCACTTGCTGTTTTATCTCATCATTTGATTTTGATAGCTGGGGAAAATATGGCAATATATAGTGATACTGCAATATCGTGATAATATCGTATCGTGACCCAAGTATCGCGACATGTATCGAATCGCAACACTCATGCCAATACTCACCTCTACTCAATACATGGTACAGGAGGGGTATGTACCTATTAAACGTGTGCAAATGCATTAAAAGTTGCTGTTTGCATCACTCATACAAGCTTACTTTCCAAAAAAAGATTTGCAATTTTTCTACTGAGTCAGACTCACCACCGGAAATTGAAAATGAGGACGAGCACGTAGGACGGCCATACGTAAACATATCACCAGAATGATTGACAATTAAGAGGACCAGTTATTCTGATGATCCACATGGAAAAAGAACATCCGCCACTATACATTTAAGCTTATTGTTAAAAGGTTACTACTGGTTTTTCAAAGAGAAGAAAGAGGTAGAGTCTAGACTGAATGCAGGGCTTAATTAAAGTGATGAGTAGAGAAATTATGAGTCTTCAGTGAAGCACTGTGCTTGTGTGTTAACCATGTCCTTCACTTATTCACTTTGCCAAAGTGATGCGACTGATATAGCTCCAAGTGTGGAAAAAAAATACTCAGCTGAAAATCTGTCTAAAACTCGATGCCCTAGCATTGACTTCAGTATTGACTAAAAGAAAACTGCATTTGATTGTGCCAATAGGTTCCAAATTATCCATTTTAGGGCCATAACTATGATAATAAATCTAAAACAAATACATCCATGTATTTAAAAATGTTAAGCAGCTCCATTAAAATGTAGTTCTTTTGATACTAAAGAGCACAAATTACCCCATTTTACTTTGAACTTCCCAAATCAGTACATCAGTCGACAAACAAGCTGGGGCGAAAAGCTGATTCACCTGCTACTGATGTAACTTGGACACCCGCCACTGTTTTTCAGGCTTTTATAGTTTAGTTTTTAAAGCCTTATAATGACAGCCAAGGTTTTATGCTACATTTATTCTCTAAGGTTTTGATCAAATTCATGCCAAGACATTCCTATTTCCCCACTTGGAATTTTATTACAGGCAGCATCTGCAAGTATCAACAGCATTTTACTTAGCACAGGACATAAAAAAAACCTCTGCACCATTACGCAGAGAACAAAGTCAGTGGCAAAATATGCAGCTAGTCATACGAAACATATTTTTGGCCAGGACACAAAAGACACAGCGCTTTTAAAGCAAACAAAATAATTTCACGAGCATGTATGCAGTCAGAAAGGAATCTGGTACAAAATTAGTCCTGACATTATTTACAATGATGGCATTACAAACACACTATAAATCACGGACATAATACACATAATGGAAGTTTTGTGAGCTTAAGTAGATAAAACTGGAGAAATAGGGTTAATAAAAGAAAAAAAAGATGTGTTGGAAAGCTGGTAAGAAAGTAGATTGTTATGACAACCTAAGTGGAGTTATGATTAGTGTTAAGAGGCCAATATAGGAAACCCAAACAAGGTCTGAGAATTTAGATTACCTCCACTTATTACTAGCAACCGTTTCCACAAAAAACAACAACAACAAATCCCTGGTGTTAGTCTCCTTTTAAAGGCCAGTTCTTTAATGGATGAATCAAAAAAGACAGCTGTTAACATCAGATTATTGTAATTGTGCACTATTTTAGAGAATGATATTAAAATGACTTAACTTTCTGCTATGTTACTCAGATTTTTTTATGTTTAGAATAATTCAAAATAGAATCTTATAAAAAGATAACCTGTAGTAATTTTATTTAAAAAAGATTTCCAGAATCCAGTGAATGATTTTTCTTCCTTCAAGCTTGATTAGATCAGGTTGTCTTGTTGGCATTGACCATAACTATTCAGGAGGCAGTATCATTAGAAACCTCTGTAATGCCTCTTTAAGGCTGCTCTGTCATCCTGTTGTCATCAGGAAGAAGCACCCTATGATCTCACATCATGTACTCTCACATGAGGAATTTCTTTAAAACGCTGAAAAATGACGGGGTGCGCAGTGCTGGTTTCTACACATATCTTGCAAATAAACAGTATTGTGCAAAATGATTCCTTCTTTCTAGACTTTACAATAAACAAAATATTTCTTTGTTAGTTTTTGTGATCGAGCAGCACAAAGCAATGTTTAACTGTAAATTAGAGGAAATATAATAGACACTTTTCTAGCTATGCCACAAAGAACAATGCATTTTATGAGTACATTTTTAATGACGTACCTTCTAAAGTCAAAATGTTAGCAAGAAGAGTCCAGATGAGTTCAAGTAAATATTAGTATAAATAGAGCTGCTATGCATTTATGCTGAGATAAAAGCCTCACAGGCCATAACATTGCCCTCAAAGATTAGAGAGTGTTAAGAAACAAAGAGCATCCTTAAAACCAAACAACACACCAGACAGGATTTTTTTTCAGTCAAGTCAAAAGCAGGGTTAAATTACCTAACAGTATCCCAAGATTTCAAAATCTAATAAAGATCTGTTACAGTCCAGATGATCAAGGCGCAACTGCAAAACTATCATTTAAATCCTTTACTGTTACTCAGGGATGGAGTTTCTTTACAATACTAGAATGAAAAATATACAAGCACAATGCACAATACAATGAAATATAATACATACTATCTGATCAAACTGTATAAGTATTAAATCATATTTGCAAAACTGTTCAGAGGTTTGCAGTGAGTAGAAAATATGGAGAATTATGCAGCTAAAAAAAGATGAAGTTATTCGGCATGTTCACCAAAACTCTTTATGGAGGTAAGGTAAGAAGAACAAAATAAGTCAGTCTAAAATATTTAAGAAGAAATAAAGTGGACAAGGCAAACATTGTGGTTTGTGCTTTGGTTTGGTTGAATGACACAAAAAATGTTGGAATAAAGGTTACACTTTGTGTCAGGAAGATATCACAGAAAATTACCTTAGACACATCATTGTGTTTAAGGTAATGGGGTGGGAAGCATGTTGGTGGCAGCACCATGTTTTATCTCAGTTTCTAAAGCTGCAAGAAAAATATCTACATGGACTTGGAGCTGTAGCGTCTATGAAGCTATTGGCGAAGTAGTGAATAAGTAAAATACAAAGCCTTATAAAATACATTAAGACTTAAAAAAATACCCAAAGGTTTAAGGAGTCACCTAAAGTTACATTAATTTAGTCTTTAAACAACACTAAATGTCAAATGTGTTGTCTTAAAACAAGACTAAAATAAAAAATTATTTTTAGCTAAAAATAAATAACATTTTTTACCATTCAATTAGTGAAAATTGAATTATTCCATAATGCCTTTTTACAAGCTTATACAAAAGATTATATGTTATACATAGTCTGAGCTTTAGTTGTTAAAGCCTCAATGACAAAAGTATAGTTAAAATTACATTTAATTTAAAAAAAAGCTGATCGCCTGGAGGACTGCCCCCATTAATGCTCTCATACAAAAAGTTTAAGATAAAACAAATAGTGGGTCAGCCTATCTCTGCAGAACAATCAAAAACCTCAGTGCAAGGTGACTGCAGTCAGCCAAAAAGTTTGTTCATGGGTTGTAACAACATTCACCATAATACTTTGATATATTTTAATTTGATGAATGTTGGTTTTGAATTTAGCTTATCTCATCCTTCAGAAGCTAAACTAACCTGCACTTCAATGAAAGCTGAAATATTTTACAACAGACTGAAACTTTTATGACCTGAGGCCGAAAGCCACGAAAAGCACCCTGTCAAACACATGAAAGAGTAATGTAGGTTTAAAACAAACAGTATTGTGAAATATGGTTGTTATACTGGCAGTAATAAAAATTGTTGGGTATAATGATCTGAGGGCTTTGCGCAAAACTAAAAAGGCTAGAAAAACAACTATTTGGGGGTAAAAAAATACTGCTGCTGGCAGTGCGTATATCCCTGACAGCTTGGCAGGCCTTCAAACTGCTGTTTCAGCTGCTATCTTAATTTTCTCCTCAAACATATGTAGGAAATTTACTGCTTCATTTCATCTTGTCACAAAGGAGCACTCTGCACCTGGATTCCACTTTCTTCTGGTTGTAGCTCTTTCAGTTATTCCTTCTCCCTTGTGGAAAAATAGTAAACCTAATGAATTATTTCAGCTGAGACAGAACCTCGTATCCAGACTGTCACCGGCCTTAAAAGCGTATATAAAGCTGTACAAGGCAATATATTGCAGTGTAATGAACATTGCACCCAGGCTTGCACAGAAAGTTACAGTGTTTTAAACTCAGACTCCAAACGTAGTGGGACTTACCTTCACAGTGTTTACCATCTCCTTTGTAGCCTGACTTGCAGATGCATTTATAAGATTTTGGGGTGTTTTGACAGATGGCATCAATACTGCAGTTGTCAAGAGCCTCGGCACATTCGTCCACATCTAGGTAAGAATAGAGAGAAGAGATAAGTTGTTACCAGTTAGCACTGATTTGCAATGGATCCAGCAGACTTGTTGAACACTAGAAGAGAAGACACTACCTGGAAGATTGATAATAAACACAAACAACCTTCAATGCACATAAATCTAGTGCATGTGCTATGTCTACAAAATTATTTCAGTCAAGCAGAATCCTAAAAATATAAATCACAAGAAAATGCCAGCTTCTAACCTAACCACTTGAGGCGTTTTTGGATGGCAAAAAAAAAGAAAAAGGTGAAAGCAGTAGACTAGTTGGTTTCAAAACTTGGAGCATTTTGAGAGGTGTTGCTAATTTAAATTCAAGTGAAGATGAGGCTCCTGACTAAAAATAGTTCACCTCTTCCAAAGGGCCATATGTCAGTTAATGTGTTCAGCATCTAGTTATGACGCCATTAGCTAGATTAAATCTGTCTAATCAGTGGGAAGACCTTGTTCAACAATCTTTTCCAATTCAATAACTTTTATCTTCTAAGAAAATGTAACAGCCAGAGGTGAAAATGAAGAACTTCTCAGTAAAGCTGATGAGAATAAACTGCAGTCTTTTTCTACTCATGTAAGAACCTAGATTCTGAGAAGTAGTCATCTCTTAAGACACACATTTATTGGCCCTGTAAAAGTCTCACTGTATAATAAACTTAATTACGCTATAATTTTAACATGTTTGCTTAATAAATAAATAAATAGAAAAGTACTTTTTATATCTTATTGCTTTTATTCAAAATAAAAACGACGCAATTTCCTAGTGCTCAAATCACATAGAACAGATAGAACATAGAACTCAAAGCACATTTTTTACAGCTATAGCTATACCTTGCACTTAGACCAGGGGTGGGCAACTCCAGTCCTGGAGGGTCTGTATCCTGTAACTTTTAGATGTGTCCTTGACTTAACACACCTGAATTAAGTAAATAGATAATTAAAAGGACTCTGGAGAAATTTTTTGCATACTGGGGAGGTAATGGGCTCTATGCACAGCTCCACTACTTCCTGAATTTAAAGCAGCTCCTTTGTTTCCTGTCTTTCATTACTGGACGAACTGATTGATCCAGGTGTGTCTGGCCAGTTACTTAGGTCATACACACCTGGATTAATCAGTGCATCCAATCATGAAAGACAGGAAACAAAGGAGCTGCTTTAAATTCAGGAAGTAGTGGAGCTGTGCATAGAGCCCATTCAACCATTTCCTGGTCCAACACACCTGAATCAGGTGTGTTGGACTAGGGATGCATCTAAATGTTGCAGGAAACCGGCCCTCAAGGACTAGAGTTCCCCACCCCTGACTTAAACAGACAGATGTTTTGTCCCAATAGGAAAATTTTGCTTACTGACTAGAATGCATGTCTGTGGCTTTTTATATATACTTATAAGAAAGAAAAACATGAACAAGGAGATAATCAGCTTAGAACTAACATGTATATATGTATATATATATATATATATATATATATATATATATATATATATATATATATATATATATATATATATATATATATATATATATATATATATATATATTAGTGCTGTCAATCGATTAAATTTTTTTAATCGCGATTAATCGCATCAATGCCTGAGTTAACTCGCGATTAATCGCATTTTAATCGCAAATTTTTTTTCTGATTGAAAATCATTTAAATACTCTCGATGACATACAAAAAATGCATACAGGCTAGGTTTGTGCCAATGTTCTTTTTTTTAAATGAGAACAGGTCACAGATACTGATTTATGCCATAGAAACATATGGCAAGAAGATGGGGAGGCATGTAGCAAAAAATAACAAATATGTAGCCAAAAAAAAGGCCCTGAAAACAGGCTGATGTAAAAGACAGTCTTTACAGTTAATACAGTCTTTTGAACAAAGACAAGCATTTTACCCTACTGCTATAAAATGCAGTACAGTTAACATTAGATGTTAATTAACCAAGATAATAATGAACAATTTTCAATCAATACATCAAAATCAATAGACCGACATCACTAGATGGAGGTAGTCTATGAAAGTTACTTTTCAGACTCTTAACAAAAATGAGAACACACACCCACCCACCCACACACAGACACACCCACCCACCCACACACAGACACACCCATCCACCCACCCACAGACACACAGGATACCGACCTGTGACAGCAAGAGTGCCGTAGCAGATTCCATTTCACCTCAGTAATCTGTTTTCTCAGCGTATTTCAGGTTGCTACTAGTTACCAGACACTCAACTTGTTTGTTGGTGGTGGGGCTTAAAGAAAAGGCACTAGCGCTACCCAGTGTATGAGCGTCTTTTTTCCTTGAGGAGCTCCGCTCTCGAAGCCTATGAGAAATGCATAGACTGGGGGAAAATAGCCCCGCCTCCCCGCAGGCTGCAGCGGGATGTACTTGGAAAATTGTACCATAAAACCACATAGCGTTAATCTCACGTTAAAAAAATTATCGCCGTTAAAATGGCCTCGCGTTAACGCGATAATAACGCGATAATTTTGACAGCACTAATATATATACATGCAAATTTCTGCAGATTCATCAATCAAACTATGACTAAAACATGTTATCAAAGAAACATAAAGGTTTGCCATGTTAAGACCTGTTTTATATAAGAAATAGTAATGTAAAATCAATTAAACCTTTTGAATCCGTCTGAATGTTTGTTTTGACTGGGCGCGTAGCAATGCCTTCTACCAGATGGTATAAGTTAAAAAGTAGAAATTAAAGGATGTAGTTGAGACAAGAGCCTTGTTTCAACCGCTGACTGACAGTGTAGAGCAATAGTTGGGGGAGGGGCAAGATGGTGTTATTCTATTATCTAAGTGGCTGAGGTAAATTTACATCAATCCAGCACTTTCTCAGACTCACTAAAAGGGGTTAAGCTGCAGGGATTATGAGACACACAATTTTACCCATTTTAAAATCCAACTTGTTTTTACATTTTCAAGGCTTGACAACAGTAATTAACCTTTGTGAAGGTATATATTGCACTTGTCACTCATAATAACAAACATAAATTTGTATAAAAACATTTTTTTTATGAATAAGTTCTTAAAAACTCTTTATTCACATCTAGTGTCAAATACATCGTTGGGAAATTTTCTGGGAATAAACACCAAGCTACAGACCAACTTGTACATTCTTGTCGACTAAAGGCTAAAATCTTTATATAATTCCTAAAATGGTCTTTGGCCAGCGCCCTAAGAGACATTAAGTGTACTGTAGTATAATCTTTAATCAAAGAGGAATGTTTAACCAATATCTAGTCAGAAAGAAAAAATGCTCAGGAGAAAAAGAAAATGTTCAAACTCTGGACTAAGCTTAAATTACAAAGAAGCCAATGCTAAAAGACAAGAATGGAAATGGATTTAACCAGAAGCAAGATCAGGTTTGCCTGTGCAGAGCTCCTAATCTCCCCAAATCCCAGTTAACTAGCCCAGGTGTTTAGGATTACCCCCCTACACACATGGGAAGGACGGCCTAATAGGGTTTACAAAGCTCTCGAAATTCACTCTTATCACAAGCCCTGCACAGGAACTCCCTGAGCCCAATGGGAAATGACCTCCAACCTAAACCCCTGAGCTTAGGACATCAGCTATATCTGCCTATAGACTGCAGGCAGTAGGAAATGACAGGAAAACAGCAGCAGAATATCAAGTATTTTTGAAGTTTATATCAAAATACCTAAAATATTAATCAACAGAATACATATACCGGTAGATATATATTTCTAGAGATAGAGTTAGCGAGAGAGAAGTCCATCTGTACTGGTTGTACCAAGACAAGAGCTGACAGAAACAAAGACAGTTTGGACATAATTCAATACATATAACCCAGCTTTTTTTTTTTTGTTGAAGGGGTACAAAGTAATACCTCCACCCACCAGCCAAATATGCAACACCAAACGAAACGATCCTATTACCTGTATTAGACAAAAAAAAAAAAAAAAATGAAATAGTTTACCCAACTGATTCTGAACTCTTATCACGGCTTCTTGACCTCTTTCATTTAAATGACCCAGCAACAAACAGGACTGCCTTGCAGAACTACCAGAGGTCAATAAACCCAGCATTTTTATGAGCACAGGATGTTCCTGCTTAGGGCTGTAACTGTACATGTATTCATAGCCATGGTTTTCACGATGGGCTTTTCGTTTCAGAATGAATGTGTACTGAACTGATGCTGGACTTTTCAAACTTACACAGTCTTCAAGTTTGTAAGCTTGATATTTTTCCACACTATTGCAAAGGAAGTGACACCACAACAAAAGAGCAAGCAAATAGACAACTATTTTAGTCACTATTTTAATTAACTTTTCTTTTTGCCAACATGCTTGGTGGCAAGAGCTGCCATTAAGTGATTTCAAAAACTAACAAACGGTTTAAAAGCATGAAAAGGCTGTTAAATGTAGAGCACAATATTTTGCCACTAATATTGGTAATGGTCGATGTTGGCCAGTTTTAAGCATATTGGTATTGGTCCGATATGGAAAACTTATTTTCATGTAGTTGCTTTTTTTGTTCTAGGAGGGAGAGTGGAGAAGATTGATCATTTGGTATTTGTTTGTGCATGCAGTAGTGGTTGTTAATCAGCTCAGGATTGCGTTTAAATAAAGCAGACAAGCATTGTCAGCATTATAGTGAAAAATATTTATATCAGGAAATATAGGTTGTCAGCCATAACGGCCAATATGAGATATTGATATCAGCCCAGACTTTAGTAACAGTGCATCCCTAGTTAAAGGAATAGTACACCCAAAACATGATTAGCCTTCATTTTCTACTCACCCCCCTGCTGAACAACACTCTGGAGTACTTTTTTGATATTTCAAATGCATCTGGAGATCTGGGAGGCTTCTTGCTGTCTGCTGACATTCAAATAATGGAGGTCTATGGTGCCCGAGGCAGAAAGGTCCATAAAAGTCCACAAAAAACGTGTCAATATTCCTCCATACTGCTCGTCCAATGTATTCCAAATGTC